CACAGAGATTTGACCTGGGAACAGTTAAGGGAACAGACCTGGCTAAGAAAAACCCTAAATGACACAATAACAATGCTAGTTGTTGGTGTTTTGGGTTGTTTGAGTGTATGTGTCAGGACGGGTTGCGCTTCTTTTGCTAATAAAGTATTGTGCTGATTACATAAAAGTAAATTACAGTAAATGTGTTAACCAGTTGTTTACTGTGCTTCATTGCATTTTCGGGCATTTGTGTGCCTCATGGTTAAGCCAAACCATTTGGTGGTAAAATAAGCTCACTTGAAATACCATTGACCCGTGTCTGCTATCCACAGATTGTGCAGTGTCATGGCCTCTTTTTTGAGGCACGTCACATGATTATGACAACATATGATTTCCCTCTCTTATTCTCCCCTCCACCCTGTTTCATGGTTGCAGTTTTAAAGCGCTAATGTGGCGTGTCAAGCCTTTTTAATGGGATGCACGGAGGCTCGGAAAGCGCGGCTTTAAATAGAAATATATGCAGCGATAACACCATAACATTAATGGCTAAAGAAGGGAATAGGTTTATAAAGATGGAATCACACACATTACCAAGGACATGTAATATTTAGATGCCCGGTATAATTTAAATCTTTATAATTTTAAGATTAATATATTTAAATATTTCTTGGGTAACAAAAAAAATCCCTCATAGAAGTAGAAGTGGACAACAGATAAGATTCAATTCAAATATTACCTCAAGTATGTATAATGTAACCTTATTATAAGAAGCTTTATCACAAGTCATTCATCAAATATATTAACTTTATTCTATTTTTGCAGCACTGTTAACTGTAATGGTTGACTTATACGCCCTGTCCAGAATAGTTTCTCCTGTTAGCAGGACGGTGGGAGTAAAGAGGGGTCTCGGAGGATATTTATCTCTTTTTTTAAACCCCTGGGGCTCCAGATATCCATTTCCATGCCTCCTCCCCTGCCTCCTTCTTTCTCTTTCCTCTCTTTCCTCCTCTCCATCTATCTATCCCTCCCTTGTTCTTTTTCTGAGGGGGTCAGAGAGGAAGACGGTCAGACAGGGAGGGGATGTTACTGATGCTCTGTTACTCATCCCCCCCCCCACACACACACACACACACACACACACACACACACACACACACACACACACACACACACACACACACACACACACACACACACACACACACACACACACACACTGATGTATGACCAGGCACAGCTGAACTTAGGCCATGCAAGCTCAGCGGCTCAAATGAGAACAAACACACACAAACATTAACACACAGTCTAATGAAGAGTAAAAACCAGGTCTTGGACTCAAATGGACACACACCAAAACAGACATGCACACACACACACAAGAAGGTTTGATAAGACACACTGAGAGAAGGGAAAACACACACCCCTCCTGGCACCCAGAGCCCAGCAGAGAGCGGCGAGCAGGGTGGAAACTCTCATGAAAGGAGTTGTATATTTGGAGAAGACATATCATTAAGATAGGCGGAGGAAGAAGGAAGGGAGGGAAGGATGCGCAGAAACTTTCCATCTGCTCTTTTAAAGAACATGTTATTGCTTTACTCGCTTAAGGTCTTCCTCTCTCTCTCTCTCTCTCTCTCCCAACCCGCTGAATCACTGCCAAGGGCCGTTAAGGCACCAGAATCACTCACAGACAATATTAAAACTGGCCGATTTGTTGCAGAGCGAGAAACTAAATCACAGTGTTTTGACAGATAGGAGCTAATTTGGTGGTTTAGAAAAAAAAAGAGGAGGACAAAAACAGATTTGATGAACTGGCTTTCAGACCATGTCTTCCTGGTAACTCCTCCATTAAGTGTGTGTTATTTTGTTTGTAAAAAACACATGTATACGTTTCTATTAGGGGCAGAGAGCAGTGCTGGCTGGAATAGGTTTTAAGATCCTTACTCAGATAAAAATAGCAGTACCACGATTTAAAAACACTCATTACAAGTAAAAGTCCTCAGTTCACTTGTATACCTAAGGAAAAGTGGCATTCTAAGTAAAGTATATACTTGCATTCATGTTTAGCAAGCATTTCTTAATGCAGCTGATGCGCTCGGAACAAATTTGATGAATTATATAAGCTGTCGGTTAGATTTCCTGCAACTATGAATCATACAACAACATCATAAGCTTACTTATTTCCGTACTTTAATAAAGAAATTGGTTATGGTCCACAACTGTCGAACAGAGCACGCAAACACATCATTCTCCAAGCGCTGATGTCTGAGATTGCGTGCGTGTCTGACTGTGTGTGACTAGTTGTGAATATCTGTCGGTCTGAGTGTGTGTGATGGGACGCTAGAGGGAGGAAGCGCTGAAACAGGGTGTATTTGTGCTCTAACTGTGTCCCCTGGCAAGGCCGCAGACCCCAGATATCACGAGGAAGACACTCCTGCTTCCACTCGTCTGCGTCACGTAGAATGGACACATTGATCTCTTCTTGTTCAATCAGGAAAGATTTTAAAGACACTTTATTCACATGATTAGCTTCGATAGGTCCGCAGTAGGAGTGTTTGTGGTGTCTATAAGTGCTCAAAGAGTCAAAAACATCAGATGACACAAGCCCTGAAGAATAATGCTTTATCACTTCACGTGGAAGGCGAGTGGCGCCACACCTTAACAGATATTTTAATATTTATATTAGCTGATCATTCTACAGTTTGAAAGATACTTGTGCACACACACACATCCACACACAGAGCATGAATGAAAGGACTGTTCACATGCACGTACACACACACACACACACACACACACACACACACACACACACACACACACACACACACACACACACACACACACACACACAGACACACAGACATAGACATAAAGACACACTCAACTGGTTGTAGACGACACACACACACACACACACACACACACACACACAGACACACAGACATAGACATAAAGACACACTCAACTGGTTGTAGACGAGAAGTGGACACAAATTTGGCCAGAGGCGACAATGCAATTATAACTTAGCGCATGAAATTAGCCTCCTTGTGTTCCCATTCCCCACAACCAATCACATGGACAAGGGGAGGCTGGGAAAAATCTCCCTCTGCTCTGTCTCGGCTGGGTCGTCCCAGCATTAAACACAATCCTGTTCATTATGCGCTGAAAAAACTGTAATGAAAAAATGAATAGGCTGGCGCCGCACTGGTTTTGCACGTCTGATTGACTATTAAGTGTGTTTTCTTGTGAGAGACACTATATTTATTGTACAGTATCCACATCTGTTGTTGGACACCATAAGAAAGAAACTAGATAAGGGTCCTGTCAGGGGTGGTCTGCTATCATCAATCTAATAAATACTTTTAAATTACAGAACAAAATGTTTTGCTCTGATTAGATAAACCACTCATGTAGACCGGGTGTTTTTATTGTTGATTTTTAAGATCTGTACTCGATAATGTGTGTGCTATTGCTACGATGCTAGCATCCTTAAGTGGTGTCTGTTATCAAGGAAGGACATTTTACCTTAAATATATGTGTTGCCTTTTGTTGTTTGGATTGATATAGAAACATGGGGAAATTACAGTAGATTCCACATTGTTGTTATAATTGCACAAAAATCAATCAGTAAAATGCAATATAAACCCTTCTTGGCAAAACACTAAGGAGCTTTTTTAATCCACTTTGGTTATTTTGTTATCTATTTTTTCTTTCATAAATGTATACATTGCATTTTTTTATATAAATATTTCCAGTTAAAGCTATCCATTCAACCATGTATTCTCTCCCCTCCTCCTCCTCCCTCCTCTCCTCTTTTATGGCCGGCCATGGTGTTCAGCACAGTCCACGTCTTGTCTCAGTCATGAACAGCACATTGTCCTCCACGAACAAGGCTCCGTGCAACTGTGATACCCCCCCACTCTAATGTAAATCAACACACTTCCCAAGTTCACATTTATCCAATTTATTCATTCAATATATTTAAACAGGTGGCTCGACTTTAGCTATTTTAACGAACACCGGGTATGAGGTTAGTCTCGGTTGTTTTCCCCCACATGAACTCTGTCTATTATGCATCCATGTGTCAGATACATAGAATAATCTCAGAGTGAGGTTAAGTCATCTTGTATCAGTAGAAAATGGCCTCCTCTTATGTGGTTGGATATCAAAAGAGTTAAGTTAAGACCATATAAAAATGGAGGTTTAATCATCTCTGTGTGAAAATCAATTAACATTACAGATATATAACATTGCTCCACCCTCTCACTGCATGGCAGATATTTTGACATTTAATATCTGCAAAATTAAATTAAATGACAAGCTAGGGTGGAGATAACTGTTCAAAAAGGATGAAACCTGGAGCTTTTCTGCACTTATGGTTTCATACAATCAGTATTTAAACTGCAAAAATGATTACACCAAAGTGGTTAGCTCAACAGAGTTATTGTACCAACTGCAATAAGGATAAAGGCAAACAGCAGCAATAAAGAAAAGAGGTTTAATATTCTCTTGTCTGTACTCCATCGGGTTAACGTTACATATTCCCCGCTCACTGATTACATATGCAGCAGGGTGAAAGGGGGGCCGTCGACGCGAATATATTTGTGTAAGAGGCTGCCTAATTACCAGAGCTGGTTCTCCACTTCACTTAACTTTCTAATTGGCTTGCCTTTTTGGCTGCCATTAATTACAATATTTCATATTCCATTAATGATCGGGTAGGGGGGGGGGCGTTAATATGCACACACTCACACATACTTACCGTATACATCCATACAGACACACACATACTGACACCTACGCATCAATGAACATGAACACACATCTCATTTTTTTACCTCTCATTACGCTGTATGATTTTGTGTGTGTGTGTGTGTGTATGTATGTATAACCTGAGCCCTACAACAAGTATTTATGTACTAAAAGGAACATCAAACCCTTTTCTTCAACAGCAAGGAGCTTCATTAAACAATTTGTGTCAGCCTTTTTCTCATAGATGTTTTTTTGAATGTCTCCTGCAGCATCCCTACCCGTCAGAAGAACAGAAGAAACAGCTGGCGCAAGACACAGGCCTCACCATCCTACAAGTGAACAACTGGTAAGTCATTTCAGGGTTTTCATGCAGTCGATTTTAAGGGGTTTTGCGCCCCGAGGCTATCCAAGTTCTTAATGATCGGAATTAATGCCTGCACTCCGCCCCTATTTCCCTCCTACACACACACACACAGAAACACACACACCACTTACAGAATCGTCCTCACCTAGATCAATCCGTCTAAAGAGATATGGCCTGCAGTGATCCACACCAACAGCCCAAACTCTGCCCAAACATGAGCATCCATGTTAATTAAGTCAAACTACCATCTGAAAACATCTAATAAAATCATCCGACATTCAAGTTGATGATTTTATTGGATGTTTTTCATACAAGAATGATTACTGAAAAAGTGGTAGCTCGGAGACTAATTATATGGTTTTATTTTGGTGTGTATGGCTTTTTGTAGCAGCTTTTACTGTGAATGACATTAGTTTAAATCAGTTGGTGAACATCTCATTCACATGTACCTAGTTTATGAATTGTCCTTGAAGCTAGTTTAAAGTGAATTTGGTGTGTACTACGTCTGACTTCGTCTGCTTACTCTTCTTTATCCTGTCCCTCTTCTGCTGTCCTCTCCAAAAAAAGGGGAAACAGAGCCACAAAACTTCAGAGGTAGTTAGCCGTTAACAATGTCATATTTGTTCTCCAAATGACATTTCAAAAGACGGATAAAATTGCTGCTGTAAACTTAAATTATTGCACAAAAATGACCCAAATGTGAAGTAACTTTTGGCATCACATTATAGCAGCAGCTGCTCATTATCCGCTGCTCATGAATCTGTTAAAAATAATTTCATTGGTTGTCCACTGACCATATATTCTTTTTATACATTATAATGTAGTACTTTTTATTATGCATTTAGCATTTTAAGTTGTCCTTGTTAGCAGGGAGCCTGGCTGGGAAGATCACAGCCTGATTTCTATCTTGCTTTTTGCAAATGAACGCTCTGTAAGTGCCAACCAGCCTGTTAATTGGGCACGAGCATGGCTGGCCGGAGCCATAAAATAACGTTGCTAACTAGCCGTTTTAACCTTAGGTAGTTCCACTGTAAAAGGTAGAAAGGGGGCCTACGTCCTTGTGCAGCTAGTCTTATCAGAGAGATGGCTATCAGCACATGCTTAGTGTTATTAGCCGTGTCTAATTAAAGGGGCTGCATTCTGGGTAACTGAGGCGGGGTCCAGGCAGAGGATGTTTGATCTGAACGGCCCTTAAAATAATCCTTGAAAGTATCAGTTAGTTGCTAGGTGCAGGCATGAAAGTGGAGACTGCAGAAAGGCAAAGCGCAGCAGAAGGAGAAGGAGAGTTAAAGAGCCAGACGGAGTGAAAAATAGATGAAGAGAAAGGAGAGAGAGATAAGGAGAGACGGAGAGAAAGAGATGAGACATGATAAATCCCCATTACCAGCAGTCTAATGATGTTAACAGTATTCCCAGCCATTGTTCAATCTGAGACCTCAGAGACAGACAGACATCAGATTAGGGTATGGTGTATCAGTCTATGGAGAATTCATTTTATACCGGGCCAAAAATCATACACATACACACATACACACACACACACACACACACACACACACACACTGGAAGAAAAAAGGCATCCTGACCATAGGGAATCCTGTAGAGGTTATCAAATCACGTGACCCCTCTGGAATCCACAGGGGATCAATTCCTACAGCTGAGATAAAGCTGTTTGTGCGTCAGTGTGTGTGTGCGTCAGTGTGTGTGTGTGTTTGTGTGTGTGAGAGAGTCAGTCAGTCAGTCACATGAACAGTAGCTTGGTCACTTTAGGCTGACTGTGTGCTCTCATTCTGTTTGTTGTGTTTATTGGTAGGGGGATAGCAACGCACCCTGAAGGTGTGTGTACTTATGCATGACCAACACACACTGTTTAAATCGTGGGAGGTTAATCTCGGTTTGTGGAAGATGTGTGTGTGTGTAAGAGAGGGGAACCGGGGGTGGTTAATCTAAGGGGTATTAGCTGTTAAACCCTGCATGCTGGGATCCCGCTGCCCCCTCACATTTTGTTGTATACAAGTGTGTGTGTGTGTAAGTGGTGTGTGTGTGTGTGAGTGTGTGTGTGAGTGTGCGTGCTTGTCCAGAGGCAAATTTCCATGCACGGTTGTTCGAGCAGGCGAGCGGTACAGTGAAGCGTGGAAGGGTGATTGAGTAGGAAAACAATAAAGATGGGGTGACAGAGAGATAAAGACAAAGACATGGAGAGAAAAAGAGAATGATGAAGAATAGGAGCAGGGATGAAGATAATAAGAGAGGGAAAAAGGTGGCAGGAAGAAAGATAGATGGTGAGACAATCAGAGAGAGAGAGAGATAGGGAGAGGTTACATTAGGGGAACTGCCATTTCACAGGCGTGATGTCGGTTGGGAAGCCCCGTCATTGGGTGTCTCCATAGCAACCCCCGGTGATGTTACCTCCTGACCCACTGATTTAGTGAAGTCAATTTCCCTCGCTGTGATTCTGCTGTTGATGAACACACACTCGCTCACACACACAAATGTGTGCATGTCTAAATTCTAAAAGTGATACACACACATTTTCTCATGCGTTCCCTTGCATCAAATCAGGTCTATAACTGTGACATCAAGGACTTCAGAAAGCATAAAACACTTAGAGGCAGCGCGTTTCACGGTCATATGCTGGCCATCGGGGATGGATTCATGTCGAATGGCCGCGGATGAACTGTGGGTCCTTCCTGTGTGTTGTCCCAACACAATCAAAAACATGTCTGACTGACACACAAAACACACAGCTCAGTCCTGTCACATGTTCCTCTCTCTGTCTGACACACACACACACACACACACACACACACACACACACACACACACACACACACACACACACACACACACACACACACACATAATCTCTTTACTTTCGTGTGTGCAGTGTATTTTCCTTCACATTTAAGCTCACACACTCCTACACCCACATACTGTCTCTCCTTGCGCGCACACTCACACACACCATAGATGTGTTAACACACATGTCGGTGTGTATTATTGATGAGTGAGTACGCGGTAGGGCTCAACAGATTAAATAAAAATGCTAAAGGCCAGCAAGGGGGCGCAGATCACTCATGAATTATTGGCAGAAATACGCTGCACAAGGGAACCTCAATTTGAATGGGAAAAGTGTGTGTGTGAGGTAATACGTGTGCACACTCACACAGCAGAATCAAACATACAGAACGTACACACACACAATGTACACACCCATATGGAAATACTTTGACAAGTCCCTACACAGATGCCTGTACAGTATATACACACACAGAAATGCCAAGTCACTCACAGTACGTGTGGACAGGTATGTACACACGAAGATAAGAGTGTATTGTTTCTACACACACGTACTATCAGATAAGCCACCACATGACAAACAGACACAAATTCACAGGTAAAACTCAATAGGCTTATTTTACTAAACATACAGTTACAAAACAAACATGCGTGTTAGATTCATATTCATTATCCTGGAAAAAACTAAACAATGAATGAAGAAAATCCATGATTTTACTCCAAATGTGTATTCCAAAATGCATTTGGGAGAGCCACAGACAGAAGAGAGCCTCCGAATGATTAGTTTATTCTAAGTGTCTTTAAACAATACGACCCTTTACCTACTCACACATTGTAAACGACTCTGCAAGGGCAGCAGCTAAAAGCTTCAAGCGGAACAAATAAAACGTCCTTCTCTCTACTTTCCCTTTTCTCCGTCTACAGTCAGTATCTCTCTGCTAAGTTCTCCTAACACTCCGGTGATGTAAAAATCGATGGCAAGGTCATCAGGTTTCGCTTGTTGGCCGCCCCTCCCCTTCCTGCCTGCAATTTAATAATGCCCCTTTAAAGGCAGTGTTTAAGCCTCGCCGAGCGATTGTTTTGTCAATAAGACCTCCTTTTACGAACGTCTTAAAAGCATAGACAGGGAGAGAGCGAGAAGAGAGAGAAAAAGGTGAGGTAGTATTTAAGAGGGCAGAGTGGACGGACGTTGAAGCTATTTAGGAAGGAGCGGCGTGGCACGTACATATATGCCGCTTATCGAGTTTCTGAAAGGACGAGCTGAGGGAAGGGGGAGATGAGTGGGAGGTGGAGAAGTGAGGCAGGGTGAGAGGAGAAAACATGACAGCATGGACAGAGAAGAAGCCAACAGTACTGTACAGTTTGTTAAACATGTGCATAATCAATCAAAGGATAATTCATCTGGGCTCTGACCATTGTTTTGTGAAGTTATTACAGCAATGTACTGTTGTGACGAAGCTACACAGGATTCAGGCGGAACAGGAAACAAAGTCAGATGAGTTTTAAATGAACTCTCAGTTCAGGTTTTGAAGAGACAGTAGAGGAGAATGTGGAAATCCTTCCATAAGTGGTCTGTTGTAAATATTCCTTGTCCGTGTCTACTCACTTCTGGTTTTACCACTTAATGACAAAGGTGGAAGGTAACTAATGTATTAACCACTTTGAGTATTTCAATGTTATGCTACTACCACTACATCTCAAAGGTTAATGTTACACCGCTTAATGTATTCCAGAGAGTACTAGTTGCACGTTCAGATTACTAATACAGGATATAGAGATTAACTCATAATTTGGTAGTACTTTCAATTTAGTAATATGTCTGACTGCTTCTACCACAACAATACAACTAATGAGTAGTGCTTTTAAAAATCTAGCTGAACTAGTTCACAGCCTCTGATCGCATCTGACAAAGCTCTGAGATGTTGCCAATAGATATTCCTTAGAAATTCACTGCTGAGCCCAATGTTGTCATAACTAATAAAAAGAATGGCCACAACTAGATTAATTAGATCCAATGTTGTAACAAGACTAACAAAAGATCCTTGAAATAATCTGAGCAGGAGACAAACAGAGAGATGCTGGAACTTGTTCTCAAAACGACTTCTGAGGTGTGTGTGTGTGTGTGTGTGTGTGTGTGTGTTTGTGTGTGTGTGTGTTTGTGTGTCTGGTTGCCCGGCCTGTCT